AAAACAACAACAACCACCAAAAAAAAAAAAAAAAAAGTTTTGATTATTTATGTACAAAGATGGAGCAACCAGGGAAAAAAAAAAAAAAAAAAAAAAAAAAGAAGGGAGCTTATTATTAAAATCTAAAACACCTGCCTTCAAGCTCTAAAAAAGTGTTCTGTATAAAACTAATGATAGCCTAAAATATAGCAGCTGTTTCCTGTTAGAATCAAAGTGGAATAATACATGATTTAAGCCAGGCGTGGTGGCGCACATCTGTAATCCCAGCACTCGGGAGGCTGAGGCAGAAGAATCGTTGCGAGTTCGAGGCCAGCCTGGGCTACAAAGTGACCTCAAGACCAGCCTGAACTGTAGTGAGTGTCTCAAAGAGACAACAAAAACAAAACAAAGTATGACTTAAATAAGAAAACGCTAATGAAATCTGGAAGCTAATTTTTAAAAAGTAACCAGCAACCCAGTAATGAATGACTGATTTGAAAGAATATCTGCTTTACCTTGCCAGAATATATTCCTTGAGAAAAAGGAACTATAAAAAGGCAAAAAAGTGTGTTTGGCAGTAAAGCATGTAAGCTCCTCTCAATCCATATTTGCACCTGCACCTCTGATTTGCAAAAGATGACGGGTAAATTTCAAAATAGCAAATTGTCAGTTTGTTACCATATTAACCTGTGGTTCAGGGTTCTATGCGGCAGAGCATGTTGCCTTGCAAATCCGGATTCTTAACCGTGTCTAAACCTTACTGTGGGAAGAGGGGTTAAAGACAGTGGAGGGATATTGGGGGGGGGGAAGAATCAAGATATATCGTGTACAGGTGCAAATTCCTTATGATGAATGTTATTAAGCATATCTAAAATGCACCAATAAAATTTATTTAAAATACAAACAAAAAATGTTACTCTAGTTAATCGACTTTGATACCACTGGAACTACTCAGTTATTTGTTATTACACTTGGAATCCCTAGTAGTTGCAAATGCGAGTTCTCGGGTGCAGGATGCCCCCTCCCCTCTCGTGCAAAGCGTCACCTTCTGCGGTTGATTATCGTTTCCACGCATCTGGGAGAAACTCCCAGTCCACTCCCGTCCGCCAGCACCGCTCTCCAGGCGGAGGCTCTAACGTGCACCTCGGTGCTTCCCGCAGAGCGGAGCACGCGCTGAAGGACCTGGAGGACCAGCCGCCGGGAAGGATTATTCCCTTTTCCCGCTGCAGGCGCGGCTCGGGCTGAAAATGTTTTTCACTTGTGAAACTTTTCATTCTTGAGGGACACAGGTTATGCTACCACAGAGTCTTCGCCACTTCAGCGGCTAGGACGTCTGGGTAGAAACACGTCACATTTTTGCTTAAAGAATGACAGCTAAGCGAACTTCACGTTTGTTACGAATCCGGAGCCCGTTACGAATGCGGAGGACACGCCCAAGGAGCGCGGCGCGGCGGCGGCCCCTCCGCCAGGCCGCACGGACGTGCACGCCCGCGGGCTCGGCCCCGGAGCCC